ATATATGTATATATATATATATATATATATATATATATACCACGTGATACTACTCCGTGCTACCGTTGTAAAATGAGTTAACCGGACGCCATTTTCTCCACTGACAAACCATTGGTCGCAATTTCTAACGTAATTATTAAGATGTTGTATCTTAGTTTTTCTTTGTATTTTTGAATTGATTAAATGTGTGTTCGATAGCTAATATAATGCGAGCTTTTGTGTTTTTAGTACATTTTGATTTTGTAAAATATTAGATTTTAAGATGCCCCAGAAAGCCTATGCAGGCATTCAGGCGTAATGAACGGTAACCAACATCCGGTTGGCAGCAGAGGGCGCTACCTGGCGTTGTGACGACCCGACTGTGGTACATATTGCTGAATGGGTTAACCTCACGAAAAATATTTAAATTTGGTTTGCAGCTTAGCACCGTAAACACAACATAACTAAATAAATAACAACAGAGCTGCTCGAATAGGAACAAGATGTTATATTAACATTTCATTCGAGCGTGGTTATTATCATTTATTCATAAATTTTGTTTAATCATAAATTTATTTCCCCACACGTGATAGTGGCTAACAAAGAGAAATTTTTTTTCCTGTAAATGTCTTACCATAGTGTGTGTATATATATATATCTGTCTCTATTATATATATATATATATATACATATATATATATATATATACATATACGTATATATACACATATATATACAGACATATATATACACATATATATATATATACACATATATATATATATACATATATATATACACATATATATATACACATATATATATACACATATACACATATATATATATATACATATATATATATACACACATATATATATATATAAACTATATATCTATAAATATTTATAAATGCCTACATCTATATACATGTGTAAGATGTATATACATAAACATACATGTATAACATATTAGGCCACATATACACTGTTACTTCTTAATTCTTTATTAGCCTTCTCTGATGTAATACCACGTATGAGAAAAAGTATATTCTGTTCGTGTTTTTATTATTTGTATATTTGGCATTGCATGATCTATTTAAATTTGAAATACAGTACTCCATCCAATTCGGAGACCACTTTGAGACCTAATCGGGGGTGGTGTAGGATTCGGTCTCGTATTCAGCTTCAAATGATAGTCTTGTTAGGGCTTAAAGACATTGGTTTCTGGTGCAGACCGAGTCTTCTTTTGTATTTTAATTTCATATTGAATTTGAACGAAAAAGAAACACTACAGCGATAATTGACTGGTTTATGGCCACTTTTCATCTTGTAACATGCTATATATTGAGGACTACTAGCTCTGTCTAATAAGAAAAAGGCAATGTGTTGAATTAGTTTGCCAACTCCGAGATCGCTGTGCGACGACCTCTGAAGGTGTTTGCATGGGATGGGATTGAACAGATAATGTAACTCTCTATGGATGTTACTAGATGAGTTCGGACTTCAATGAATGAGCCAGACACCAAGTAAGCTGGATGTTAACGGTTTTATTCTATACAAAGTGTGAGCCTCCAACAAGACGCAGCTTGGTTACCTTAAGTTATGCTTAAGGATAATGAGGTTTGTTCGTCATTATCGTAATTAAAAAACGATCCTTTTCTCTTCATTCTAAACGTCATCAAGGCATCACCTAGATAACAATTTTGTTATTTTGTTGGTTTTGCACCATGCACAAGATCTAGAGGAACCTTGGGTATAGCAACCTGCCTATAGGACTTGTCAACTGTTCAAATCGCATGGTTACGGACGTACACATTGTTCAACTCAATGAATACTAATGCTACGGGCCCGTAATCACAAATTCGTGTCTAAGAACATGTCATACAGAGCTGTTCTGTGAGCGGATAATGAGAAACACTCCTGTCTCTTATACACATCTAGATGTGTATAAGAGACAGTCTCAGAATAGCTCAATATGGCACAAAATCTCCTAGCTTTTTAGACACCCTGGACATGGGGCCTACCGCCTACATTAGTTCGTTAACATTGTCATGATCTCCATCATTATAAATATTATTTTTATCATCATCACCACCACCACCATTATCGTCATCATCAAATTTGAATTATGCGTGTATACACAAAAGCTTGACATGATTCATAGCGGAGGAACCGAGTCCCAATCATTCTTATTTTTTATCAAGTAATTGAACATGTTAGAGACGTGTGTGATTTACGTACTGTATTCAAGGTCATAATTATTATTAAAGAGTAAACCAAACAACCCTGTCAATTACTGCAACATCCACTCATTAGCCTGGTTGATTTAGTATCATTATATATATGTTCATTACTTAAAATATTTATTACATTTGATTAGAAAACATGATTTATGCTCGTCTAATTGATGGTTGTGCGATTATGTAAATACGGTTACAAATGTAAACCTAAGGATATATATCTACGTTTCCATGTTTGATTCATAATTATCTTTACCCGGTGCCTTTCAGTTCTTTCCGTTTCGTTGGTTTACACAATGTGTTAAGCGGAACCTCGCGCGAATAAGCGCCCGGGCGCTTAAATTTTTTTGCACTTTCTGAGGGGCGCTTATTCAAACAGGAGCGCTTATTTAAACGGGGCGCTTATGAAAACAGAGTGGAAATTGAGGGGGTGCTTATGGAAATAAATGAAAATCGAGGGGTTCTTATGGAAAATTTAAATTCAAGAGTCAATTTTTGAATGAAAAAAGATTATATAAGGACATCACGAATGGTGGTTAGAAAAGATAATCGTCCAGAGAAAATGGCTCATTACAAGAATGCGTGAATATTTACATAACAGCAAAATAGCAAATGCTAGTGGTTAGCTTGTTGGCCATCGGCCGATTGAGATTAGCAGGATGGCAGGATCATTGTACTTTTTCTTGAAAACTAGATGAGAATGTGCTAAAGGTCGGAAAAAGAGAAAGAGGAGTAGGACTAGGAATAGACAAATATGTAAAAAGAGTAAAGTTGTAAATATACTGTCTGTCCAGGGATCGGAGCTCTCATCTGTCCAAGAGAAATATTCTCATTTTGATATTGACCTAAGAAGAATGTGTTTCCACTCTACAGCTTAAATCATGCCAACAACCACAGTCCCAGGATTGATTGGATTATTGACTTGCTAAAAAGAAAATCTTATGAGGGGCGCTTATTCAAACAGGGCGCTTAAGGAAATTTTCACGTTAGGAGGGGCGGTTATTCGAGAGGGGCGCTTATTCAAACGGGGCGCTTATTCGCGCGAGTACGGTAGATATAGCTGATGGCCATGGCGCGGGCGATGAGCGAACTCAACTCGGGGAGTGAAATTACCTTAAGTTATGCTTAAAGATAATGAAGCCTTGTTTGCCATTATCGTAATTAAAAAACGATCCTTTTCTCTTCATTTAAAACGTCATCAAGGCATCACCTAGATAATAATTTTGTTATTGTGTTAGTTTTGCACCATGCACAATATCTAGAGAAACCTTGGGTATAGCAACCTGCCTATAGGACTTGTCAACTGTTTAAATCGCGTGGTTACGGACGTACACATTGTTCAACTCAATGAATCCACTAATGCGAAACGCTTTGAAATGCTACGGGCCCGTAATCACAAATTCGTGTCTAAGAACATGTCATACAGAGCTGTTCTGTGAGCGGATAATGAGAAACACTCTGATATGCGACGGGACCGTAATCACAAATTCGCAGTCATCTATGCAATTTATCTTATTACTATGGTAACATACTATCGGAGATGATGCTGAAGTCACGTAAGATGAATTATACTGATGACGTAGTCAAAGAGTGTATGTTTTTTGTGCCGCAGATTTCACTCAGTCGGAGAGTGGGAACAGATTTCAGCGGGACAGTTTTTCGCGATGTGCACTTTCGCTAGGAATCTACATACATCGGAAAAGAAATTGAGATCATAAAATAAGTATATGCTAAACCAATTACTATGTTCTATAAGGTAAGTAAACAACGACGATATTATCTCTGTATGTAATTTTTAAATAAAGTTTGAATATATATATATCTATATATCAGGCTAAATAAATGTCTATCTATTGCTAGATAGGTGCCTACATGTATTATTAAGGTATGTAGGCCTATGTTTATTCATCCGGATAATTGCGAAAGTATATACGGTAGGTCTATTAGGGATATTGCGTGTAAAGTATACTGTGCAGTAATGAAATTCATAACAAGCTATGTAACAACACGTATAATGCAATTTATAAAATTTTGAAATTAACTTGCTCATTTTGTAGTTATATACCAATTATTAACCTAAGCATAGAATTTATTAAATCAAAAAAATTTGTACCCTGATTTTTGATCTGGATAATTATGATAAAAATAATAATGGAAGTGTTTTGCTATCATTTTCGATGTAAAATGAAGGATAAACACTTATTAAATACACTAATTTCTATGTTCAAGTTGATAATTTTAATGTTACTTAAAAATGGGTAAAAAAAATAATATATGACTTGTTTTGGTATTTTGCATGGAACAGTGAACAAAAAGCCGGACACTCACTACTCCCGACGGTCGTCGTCCGACGCGATTTTATGTAAAACGCAATGATACGACGCGCGCGCAACAGGTCGTTTTTAATGACGATCCGTTCAGACTGCCACCCACAATCAGCAGACAGCGTCGCGTCGTCTAGGCTCACAGGGAGTGGAGTTGGGGTCGTCGTACGACCATCGTAAGACGCAGTGAGTGCCCGGCTTAAGTTTACATCCCTCGTGTGGTTATACAACAATGTTTTCAATCCCCCAAAATTTTGAAGCACAAAGTTTTTTTTTTATATTTCAACTTGAAAATGATTCTTCTTTTGGGGCTATCGTTTATTCTTAATAATATAATCCGATGTTAACAATAGTTTTATGGGGTAGGTGAATTTACGCAGTCCATTCCGCACGGTCTTCGACTCCTTTCTCATCTAAACAAATCGATATAATAATATATTATCCAAGGGCGGATTCAAAGAAAAGGTGAGGGTCATGCTCCGTACGAAGCACCGAGCCCTGGGGTGGAGGTGATATATGATCGACAGTAAGATGTATTCGAAACGAAGGCGAAAAAAAAAAAGATGAAGCACAGGGCTTCAATTCGTGGTTTTACGGTCATGCGTTCAAACCAGAATTGTATAGAGTGTGACTAAATAGATAATAAATAAACATAAATGAATATAATTTTTTATAGAGTCATATGGGTTCCTGGGGTCTCAGGATCAAGAAGAGACCAACATTACACGTCAGTTGAAAAGAAAAGGGGACAGTGCTGCCCTGAAGTTGAAAAACAACCAGAAACGAACTCCAAAAGGTGAAAACAAGCTGAGAGTTACAGAGACAGAAAACAGCTGACTGTCTGCTGGTGGATCAGAATGAGTCTCCCAATCACCCGATACAAAACATTAAACATAATTATCAATTGTGAATTATCTTCTAAAATGACTATTAAATTCTGAACAAAAGGTTGTGTACAGTGTTTAGTGTTTTGATTTAAAGTGGTTAGTCTACCAGTGTGTGTTTGCTTGAATCCAAATAAATTCTCATTTAAATAAGGCTTTGAAAGCAGCAGCAGCAGCAGCAGTGGCGGCGGTGGCGGTGTTGGTGGTGGCGCCAGCGCCAGCGGGGGCCGGGGGGGGGCCGCGGCTTCCCGTCGGGGAGAGCTGGCCCCTCCGTCAGGGAGAAAAGCACAATACATCGTGGAGAAAAAAAATTATGTGTATTTTCTACATATTAGTAGATTATAAAATCGATTAAATAAGCCTTTGAAACCCCAAAATTGTCAAATATTTTAGGGGGATTCGCCCCCCAGGACCACTTTCGTAATCTTTTAATCGAAGTTCGACCACGCCCACTTTGCTTTCGTTGGGGAAATCTGACCCCTCCTCGGGGCATCGGCCCCATCGTCGGGGACCTCCCCCCCGTCGGTCAAATCCTGGCGCCACCCCTGGTGGTGGTGGTGGTGGTAGTAGTAGTATTAGTAGTAGTGGTGGTAGTAAAGGGATAAATAATAATAAAAATTTAAAAATTAAATTCATTAAAAAATTGAAATCAAATACTATAAGAAACGTTTTCAAAGCAGAAACAACAGCACTAGTATTATTAAGCTGCAGTAGTACTAAAACTAAAACAGGGAGTAGTATGAGTAGTAAAGTAATTTTTAATTATCATGTTTCGTACCTGTGTAGCAGGAGGGGTTGCGGTGCCAATCATAAGTAAAAGGGTGACAAATCCAATTGCGTTACTAAGATGGTCGCCAAATATTAACCCCAATCGACAGATACATTTGTTGAAAATGCCAAGCAAATAGCAACAGCTATGAAAGCAAAATATAAATAATATATGTCATTTGTCATTGCAAATTACCTGCTTTAGGAAATAAATTTCGCATACTAAATAGTATTAATATTTTTACAAATATATTTATATGTAACAATAGGGAGTTATACTCGTCACAAGGCACGTTACCTAGTACCGTCATCCACCCGGCAAAAGACACTGCGTCGTTTACAGTTGAAAGCATACACGTACGTGGAAATACATTTCAACAAAGTAGATACAATCGTCAAGTACTTTATTCCAATCTGTTTGAGTACCTTTGCTCCTATGAATCCTGTAGATATTTGGAAGATTTTCATATTATTCTTCAATTAGGCTGATCTGAGACTATAACAACAATTAAATAGTTAGAGAGTGCGTAGCAATCTGGATTAAAATATAGATCATGTTTATTTGCTATTTATCATATTTCATTTGCTTCTGATATTATTTTGTGGTTTCCTAGAAAAGTCACTTAATTCACTTTTTACGTCTACATGCTCATCAGTACCACTAATCGAAACTTCCATGTTGGAGAAACAGCAAATGTAATACGACGACTGCACAACACTACAGTGGACATAGCTCAAGTTTTACAAATCAACCGCGGCACCTACGTCCTTGACAGTGTTTTGTTATATTGGACTGCTTCCCCGCAAACGCGGCGCAACATTCAGACAACATATAGTTGGAAGAAAGCGATTTGAAGCGCGGGCGGTCGCATCAATTAAATGGTCAGGATGTTTCGGCAATTTAAACAGCAGTGTCAAGACTTCTTTTGGGATTCAAAGAAGAATAACTCAGCTACTCCATAACCATACCTTATTATTTACAAAACCCCACTCCTGACCATGGCACGTCTACTTGTCTTGTCATCACATCCACATCAACTCCTAGTTTGTGTGTCTTTGTCAAAATTGCTGTCTCTCACATTATTCCCCTCCAATTACACCAACTTCTATCTTATATTAACATGTACATTCCCCACTTCACTCAATTCTAATATCGCTCTCCTAACCACCCTTTTCGTAGAGTTACGTACGCGTAGTCAAGAATAAAACAGAATAAACTGAGATTATAACTGATATAAGCTTTAATACGTGTCAACAATCACCTTTTGCATGTTTCTTAATTTATCATCTTACTGTATTTGTTTTCTCAGAGTCGAATGGTTGAGTCTGAGATAGGGTCGCGCGGTTCAGATGGGCGCCTTATCAATCGCCATAATATCACCGCTACGGCTCGCTCTTTTGTATGTTGAGGTAATAAATCTTCTCGGATAACCGTAATATACAATGATCATTTCGGTACACGATCCACCCGGGTTTCAATCGTACATATTTTACATATATATTGCATTAATATTTTGATGTTGCTGTGCTTCGAGGTCGTATCCCTTACGGTCAATATCTGCAAACGTCAAAATGTTTCTGTGGACACGATCTTGCTCATTTTCAAAACATCCCCGTGCATAATAATAATTCGTCACTGTAAACAGTCAAACAATACAACAACAATAAACATGATATTTAAACACCTTACGAATCATTAAGTCGGACACACATCCGCCCTTCGTAACCGCTTGACGACGTAAGGACATCTGCTGATTGTCGATAATCTGAGAGGATTGTCATTGAATTCACTTTTGGGCACGTCGCTTGGCGTTGGGTTCTGTGTGGAATCGGGTCGGCGTCGCCCAGTGTGACCACTGCTTGGTGACCAAGATCTTGGGTGTTTTGACTTGGTCTTGGGTTCTTGGGTATTCCGTTCAAATCCTTGGGTATTTTATTTTTACTAAGAAAAATAAATATTTTTGTCATAGAGGAAGAATTAAGAAGTAACAAAGTACATGTCAGTCCTTTCAAGTAAGCAAAACCCAACGAAGTGCACATAACATTGTTAATTGACTCTTAATTGCTATAAACATGGGTTCAGAATTGTTTATTTGTGATTTGCGTTGCCATTGATCTTACCTAATTAATGCATTACATAATAAAACTTGATCACTGATCTACTGATAACACTGGCCGACTGAGGGCGTATTTTTCTATCTGTATTATTACCTCATGATTATTAATTTTAATAATTAACACAAACAATTACAATAAAAAATGGTTTATAAATTGAACTAAAAGGGAAACCATATATGCGAAAAACACATTTTTTTTCAAATTTTAATGCATTTTCTGGAAGCTTTGGTAATTTTGGGCAATTTTTGCTGAAGCTTGGGTAATTTCGACCCAGTCATTAGGTATATCAAAAATTGTGAGTGGTCACACTGGCCTCGCCGCTGTTAGGTCTTGGCTTTAAAAACTACTTACCAGAAAAGTTGGTGATAGCTATTGATATACCAGCAACACATCCAGGACCTTTTATTTACACGGATATAACATGAAAGACATAGACAACATGTAATATATACAAATGAATTATAATAACTTATAAGAAACCTAGGTTATTTGACTAGCTGGACGCAGGGTTCCCGGAATGCCGCCCTCAGCGGCGTGTGCGAAGCTACTCAGGGTCAGAAGTGGAACGTGAATTTCAATTTGGTTTTGTAGTCAGATTTTCGAGAAAAACTTCAGCTACACGTATTTCTCGACTGAGACGTCAATGGGAGCTGTAATTTGTATTTTATATATATATATATATTTTGGTTATAATAGAAAATTTTTATTTTTTGGTGACGTCGCACTCACGCTAAAGTTAGCATGTATACGTCATAAGCTAGATTACGTCACCTTTTCCTGGTAAAGCAAACTTTCCCGGCGTGCTTTTTTCATGGCTAAACAAACACCACTGCTTGGCACTGAGTACCTTGTCTAGCTATGGCTACACGAGCCGCATAGTTAGCATATAATACTTAAACAAGGTACGTCTGCAACTGAATTATTCTTAGGCCCTAATTATTTTTTTTTTCTTATTTTAATTTATTTCTTTCGAAAGTGTACTTTCTATCACATAAAATTGCACTGTCTACTTAGGCCTAGGCCTAGTCATATTATGCTTCATCGTCCCCTGCTATACACAGTACATCAGTAGGCTAACCCCCACAACCCACGCTACAGTACATACAGACGTTTGCTAGGCAACAGAACGTGATTGCACCTTTCTTACCAGGTGTTCATGTAAATTTGCATAGGCCTATTGTTAGCTAACCAGCTGAGTGTATTCTTTTGTGAAAATGAGTACCGCGGGCCGCCGCGTACTCATTTTCACAAAGCATTTGCATCCCCTCTTGAAAAGAGGGAACTTCGTAATAGTTGTCACCATATCTTCGCTCATTAATCACCGTATTAGCTTACATTTATGCTTGGAGGGAGCACTTAAAATGTACAATAATCATTTTACTATCCGACAAACCCTGAACTTTATTCATGCATTACATAAATAGTTTCATCTTGCTGTACTCCAACATCACTGGCGCATGGTAACAATTAACTGGCAGACCATTTCCAGTCATACATTACTCTCCATAACGCAACACCCCTTGTTCTGTGTCATCTGGATATATAATGAACGATCGTCACAGGAATGGAGCTATCCAGACTGTCAATCAAACTTAACAACTGACCAATCAGAAGAGGGCCTGTATAACAAGCAGCCGTGTTGTCCACAAACGCACATTTTTGCGTATGTTTTTTAAAGATAGATAGGTAATTATTAGATATTCTTTATCGATATTCACCTTAACATATAGGTATAATCAAGACAGAAAAACAAACAATAGAATTAAATAATAAAGCAAAAACCACACATAAAGTGTATATATAATTACAAGATCCGTTAGCATTACAAACCATTAGCAATCGTTTTCTTAACAACAATATACAAGGGGTGAGGCTTAGCGGCAAGGTCCAATGAACTCAGGGCCCAGGGATTGGAACACAAACATATTAATCGCCAAGATGCATATCCGCTTTAATACAATTTACTTGTTTGCCACAAATTGAAGCAGTACACAATCGAGAAACACAATAACTTGCGGGATACTGATGATAATTCAACGTTAAGTTCTCTGAATTCCACCTGGCGTTTACGTCATTTCTGTTAAATCCATCATTTTAGGCTTCTGGATCTTAAAAGTCAATAATGACAACTGCAGTTTACTTAAAAGTATGATGAAAATACACTAAAAAGATTGATTCTTACAATCTGAAGAAAATCAAGTTAAAGTTTATCTAAAAATTACATTCGCAGCTTCCTTAAGAGGTTAAATGGTATTGATTTGTACATAAAACACCAACAAAGTGAATAATAAAAAAATAAAAAAATAAATAAATATATATATATATATATATATATATATATATATGTATATATATATGTATATATATTTTAAGTTTTGTAGCAATTGCTTTGGCTACGTTGTTAATTTAGTGGGTGCTGCCTTCTTTTGCTTTCTTGTGTGACGTGGTGATGTTATCCTACACTTTGAGTTAAATGACTTCGATACAGTGGCGTATCTAGAAGTCTTGAATTGAGGAAGGGGGTAGGTGATAGGGGGGCGCGAATGTGAAGTGGGGGTCTCGATGATCAGTTGACGGACTATTTATAGGTATAGTAACCCGATTTAAAAGGAAATTGCTGGTTGCCTAAAGAATGAGAATTCGAGGTCCGTAAAACCTCGAATTAAAGCTCTGGGCCTTTTTTTTCCTTGCGAAATTTGAATGTGCTTGATTTCGAGCTACTTTTGCAATGTAAATAGGGGGCTTCTTTTTAAAATGCATGTGGGTACCGTTATAGACCTATACAGAAAAAAAATGAGTAAAATAATTGCATACGTGTTCTTTTTCTCCATGAATCGATAAACACCAAAGAAAGGGGGTCGGGTGTCCTCCCCAGGAAAGTTTTGATTCGTAGATGGCGGGAAATGAGCTTTCCCGACTTCTGAGGTGTCTTTTAGTGACTTTCAAATTCCAAAAACTTTTAGGTCTTCCCTCTCTTGCAAATGGTCAGGTAAACTTTCTCATTGTTATTACAGTAAATAGGCCTATGTGTGTATATATACATAAAACAAAAATTGAGTAGTTGCATAGGCCCTACATATTCTTTTTTGCATGAATCAATGAGACCAAACGGAGACGGGGGTCGAGAAAATGTTGAATCCCAGATGGCGGGAAATGAGCTTTCCCGGCTTCTAAGGTGTCTTATTGACTTTAAGTCATTAAAATTTTAGGTTTCCCGCTCTTGAAAACGATTTAATGAATCGATGAACACCAAAGAGAAAAAGGGGTCCGGCTTCTCCTCGGGAAAATTTTGATTCCTAGCTGGTGGGAAATGAGCTTTCCCACTTCTGAAGCATCTTTTAATGACTTAATTTCTTCAAAACGGTCAGGTAAATTTTTTCTCATTCCTATGTGTGTACCAGTATATACACAGAAAGATAAACCCCAAAAAGAAAGGGGGCCGGAGTCCTCCCCCGGGAAAATGTTGATTCCAAATGGCGGTAAATGAGCTTTCCTGACTTCTGAACAAAAAAAAAAAAAAAAAAAAAAATCAGCTCACGGGTCCAGAAGAAAATAAGTCTAGAATTTTGTTTCTTAAATTTTTGTACACAATTTCTTTATTCGTTTATATACATACATACATATATATATATCTGTCTCTTAT